GCAAAATATCATACATAAGCCAAAACAATGTCTTCACTGTTACAGCTCCTAGGGCAATGGAAACTAAAGAGAAAATAAACAAATGGGACTACATCAAAATAAAAAGCTTCTGCACAGCAAAATAAACCATCAACAAAACAACAAGAAAGCCCACTGCATGGGAGAACATATTTGTCAATGTTATTATTGATAAGGATTAAATCTCTAACATTTACAGGGAACTCATACATTTTAACAAAAGGAAGATGAACAATCCAATCCAAAAATGGGCAAAGGACCTAAATAGACACTTTTCTAAAGAGGACATAAGGAAGGCCAAGAGACAGTTGAAAACATGCTCAAAGTCACTAATCATCTGAGAGGTGCAAAATGACAATGAGGTACCATCTCACACCTGTCAGATTGGCTATCATCAACAAATCAGCAAACGACAAGTACTGGCAAGGATGTGGAGAAAAAGGAACCCTCATGCACTGCTAGGGGAAATGTAGACTGGTGCTGCCACTGTGGAGAACAGTATGGAGTTTCTTCAAAAAACTAAAAATAAAACTTTCATTTGACCCAGTGATCCCACTTCTAGGAATATATCCCAAGAAACTAGAAACACCAATAAGAAAGGATATATGTTCATAGCAGCACAATTTACAATAGCTAAAATTTGGAAACAGCTTAAGTTCCCATCATCCCATGAGTGGATTAGAAAAGTGTGGTACATCTACACAAGGAAATACTATGCAGCTGTAAAAAGGAAGGAACTCCTACCATTTGCTACAGGATGGATGGAGCTGGGGAGCATTTTCATAAGTGAAATAAGTCAGTGAGAGAAAGATAAATATCACATTATCTCACTCGTTTTCAGATTATAATGTACAACATAAACTGATGAACAAAAACAGATTCAGAGACAGAGAAGCATTGATCAGAGCTCAAACCTCAGAGGGAAGGTAGGGGAGGGTAGGAGTAAGGGCGAGAGATCAACCAAAGGACTTGTATGCATGCATATAAGCATAACCAATGGACATAGATACCAGGGGGGGGGGGACAGGTAATGGTATGAGTGGGAGTAGTGTGGGGGGGCTGACTGGTGCAGCCACTGTGGAGAACAGTATGGAGTTTCTTCAAAAAAACTAAAAATAAAACTTTCATTTGACCCAGTGAAATTACATAGGATACATATGTAATACATTAATCAATAAAAAAAATCAGCAAACGACAAGTGCTGGAGAAGATGTGAAGAAAAAGAAACCCTCCTGCACTGCTGGTGGGAATGAAGACTGGTGCAGCCCCTGTGGAGAACAGTATGACATTTCCTCAAAAAGTTAAAAATGGAACTCCCATTTAACCCAGTGATCCCATTTCTTGGAATATATCCCAAGAAAACAGAAATACCAATCAGAAAGGATATATGCACCCCTATGTTCATAGCAGCACAATTTACAATAGCTAATATTTGGAAACAGCCTAAGTGCCCATCAGCAGATGAGTCAATTAGAAAATCTACACAATGGAATACTATGCTGCTGTTGAAAGGAATTTTTACCATTTGCAACAGCATGGATGGAACTGGAGTGCATTATGCTTTGTGAAATACGCCAGTCAGAGAAAGATAAATATCACATAATCTTACTCATATGTGGGGTATAATGATCAACATAAACTGATGAACAAAAATAGATCCAGAGACAAATGGCAGGGGAGGGAGGGGGGTTAGAGGTCAACCAAAGGCCTTGTATGCATGCATATTAGCATAACAAATGGACACAGACACTTGGATGGTTGGGGCTTGCCCTTGGGGGTAGGAGTGGCGGGGGCAGTAAATTGGGGAAAAGAAGACATATGTGAAACTTCAGGCAAAAAAAAAAGTAAATAAAAAACCCTGTGGTACATCTACACAATGGAATCCTATGCTGCTATAAAAAATAAGGAACTTTTACCATTTGCAACAGCATGGATGGACCTGGAGAGCATTATGCTAAGCGAAATAAGCCAATCAGAGAAATGTAAATATTGCATGATTTCACTCATATGTGGGATATAATGAACAACATAAACTGATGAATAAAAATAGATCTGAAGATAAGGTAGCACTGAACAGACCTTCCAACCTCAGAGAGAAGGCAGGGGAGGGCGGGAGTTAGAGATCAACCAAAGGACTTGTATGCATGCATATTAGCATAACCAATGGACACAGACACTAGTTTGGTGGGGGCTTGCTGTCGGGATGGGAATGGCCCAGGGGTGTCAATTGGGGGAAAAGCGGACATATATAATACTTTAAACAATAAAAACAATAATAATATAAAAAGAAATCAAACCAGTCCCATCATTTCTATAGATGGCTTTCCAATTTGGGACTAACTAGGATGACCTACTGTGAGCCATTTCTACTTCACTTTATAAACTACCTGTTTCTGCTTCTTATATGCTTAGTCATTGGAATAGCATCTAAAATTTTATGCAATACCTCATGAATTATAAGTTTTTCCAGTCTGGATGATAGGGGCAGGCACAATTCATCGCTCTGTTTCTGTACCAAGCATTGTCCCCTCTCCTAATCTTTTCAGCTTATTTTTTCCTTGCCTTTAATACTTTCTTCAAACCCACTGGTTGAGACTCTAAGGGGTCTTTAGACCTCCTGAGTTATTGTTCTATGCAGCAGCTTTATCTCCAGTACTTTGGGCTGAGAACCAGCTACCTTGGCATCTCGGACTTCCAACTCCTTCTCAACTCCAGCAGTACAGCTGCTCTTGCTGGGTTTCTCTATCCCTGAACTCTAACCAGGAAGTTAGTGGCAGTGATTGTTGAGATTACCTCAGTTACCTGAAAAATCATTGTTCTTTGTTGCCTGATTCCCATAATATTAAAACTATTGTTTTATATTGAGGAGGAAACTGGTCTTGCAAGGTGTGTCAGGCCATAAAATCTGTGAACAATGCACTGCCCTGGTGGGGGGAGGGAGGTCATTATCACTGGCCCCAGGACAGATCATTGGATATGGCCTGGGGACCCCCAACACTTGGGGGTCTTCCTGTAAGCCCGCAAAAGAGGGAGGAACCATATCTGCAAGACAAAGACCCCAGAAGGTTATAAAAAGTGAAGCCCTCTGCGTGTTACTCACTCTGATTTGGAAATTATTCCCGTAGTCCACTAGTGTTAATAAATGGGGTCCCTCCCTTTCTCTAGGAAGTGTGCTTGGTATTTCTTTGGTCTTCTGCAACATTTGGTTCCCTGACCAAGAAGCTAACCATGTTTGGCTCTTGCCTCCGGTGAGTGCAGGGGGTTTGGGGCCTGGGGGCGTGGGACAGGCCTCCAGAAGGGTGTGCTGTTGATTTTAGCAGAATTGAACTGGGGGGAACTCCAGGCACTCACGGACCTCAGCCCAGGACCTGGTTGGCATCTGGAGAAAATGGACTGACACCTCTGGACCTGTCAACAGAATCGGTAAGGTAGGGGCCCCAGTCAGTCAGGCCCACTCCAAGTGAGTGGAAGGGGGAGCTTGATGACCTCCCCGGAAGTCATAGGACTTCATCAGGTAAATCAGGAATCAGGACTCCAGAGGTGAGTGAATTCAGATTTGATTAAGGAATTATGGGTTCACACTTCTGTTTGTTTGTGTGTGGGACTAACCAATTTGCTACTGAGAAGGGGGGCTGGATGCACTCTTAACTCCTCTGGTAGGCTCTCACCGAGATGCTGGTCGAGAATTTTGTTCTGGGGCATGAGTGCCCATATGGGGAGTTGGGCATTATCTACTCAGCTCCAGTCTGGGCTAATTTACTGAGACAGTGTGAGTATGGATGTTTGTCTGTCTTGGCATAATTATCTGCTGATTAACTGGTCCGTGTGAAAGTGAAAGCTACTGTGATTTTCTGTTTGCTCATCTGGTTAAAACGTTTGACTTACTAAAGGCTGAACCCGTGATGGTCTGCAAAAGTCTCAAGCAGCACTGTTGAGTTAGTTTTCTCAGAGTCATTTGCTCTCTATCACAGAGGGATAGTTGATAAAAATATCTGTCTATGTTTGTGTACTGGGGACTTTGGTTTGCTCTGTGATTTTGCTGTGTTAGGTTGAAATTTTGGAATTCTGGGGTAGATTTAAAGGTTTTTGCAGCTTTTCTTGTTTCTTTTCGTTGGCTGGGGCTTTCAGGGGCAGGGCTTACAACTCCGCAGGGCAGAAAGATTTTATTCCCCCTTCTTCTGCCTGTGGTGATTAAGGATCTTTTCTTTAAGGAGAACCTCCAGGCTTTTAGTAAATTTCCCTTCACCCTTGTCTGTCTCTCGCCACCCATCATCATGGGGTTCAGACAAAGTAAACCCACTGTTCTCAATTGCATGTTGGAAAATTTTGAAAAGGGTTTTATTGAGGACTATGTTATTAAAATGAACTCCAAAACACTGAGGAAATTCTGTGAATTAGAATGGCCAGCCTTTGGGGTCGGCTGGCCCCTGGAAGGCTCTTTAGATGTAGGACTGGTCAGGGTGGTCTGGAATGTAGTCACGACAGACCCTGGACACCCAGATCAGTTCCCTTACATAGACAGCTGGTTAGGAATTGCTCAAACCTTGCTGCCTTGGGTCCGGTTCTGTAAGGTTTTAGTAGTAGGAGAAAAGAAACGGGTCTCTCAGAAGGGAACCTAACTCCTTGTTCTGCCAGGATCCCCTGAGGAAGTCCCGCTAGTTTTACCATCTCCATATGTGCCACAGGAAGCACCAAGTGCTTCCCCAGCTGGTCTGAAAGGTCCAGCAACACCGCCCCCTTCCGTTTCTCCTCAACCAGGCTCTCCAGAGCCAGTTGGGTGGTGCTTGCATTCAGCCGATCAAGGGCCCAGGCCAAAACCAGCACATCAGATGCCTCAAAGGGAGATTCGGAGTGCCAAAGTAGTTGGCAAAGATGGGACCTTGCAGGAGGGAGGGCCAGTCTAGTATTATCAGTCCTTTACCACTAGTGACATCTTGAATTGGAAACATCACACCCCAGCTTATTCTGAAAAACCTCAGGCCATGATAGACCTCCTAGAAATGATCTTCCAGACCCAGAAGCCCACCTGGGTGGACTGCAAGCAGCTCCTTTTCATGTTCTTTAACACTGAGGAGTACATGAGAGTAGTAACAGAGGATCAGAAGTGGCTCCAGACCCAGGCCCCAGCAGGAATAAGAGATACAGACAGATGGTCCAGGAAGGCCTTCCCAGATGAGAAACCCAATTGGAACCCGAACTCAGATGATGGAAGGACCGGGCTAGAAAGATATCGGCTGGCTTTCCTCCAGGGGGTCAGGGCCGGAGCCAAAAAGCCCACCAACATGGCTAAAATCTCTGAGGATTTCCAGAAGCCTGATGAAAGTCCAGCAGCTTTCTATGAGAGACTATGTGAGGCATACCAAACCTACACTCCTTTAGACCTGATGCCCCAGAAAATCAAACCATGGGTAAATGTTGTTTTTGTAGGCCAAGCCCAGCCTGACTTCAGGAGAAAATTACAGAAACTGGAAGGATTTGCAGGAAAGAATGCTACTGAACAGCTAGAGATAGCTAACAAGGTTTTCATCAATTGAGACAGTGCAGCAAGGAAGGAGGAAGAAAAGAGAATACAAAGAAGGACCAATATAATAGCAGTGGCTTTAGATGCTCAGGCTCCCAGCCAGATCTGCAAGGATACAGACCAAGGGGTAAAGGAAGAGTGAGCCTGAGATGAGACCAGTGTGCCTATTGTAAGGAAACAGGGCACTGGAAGAATGAATGTCCCAAACGGCAAAGTAAAAAGACTGGGTCCCCTTTTCCACCCAGTTGCTATCAACCAGAGCCACCCGAAGCATATCTCATTGGGCTAGCAATGGCTGATTCCAACTAGGACAGACCGGGCTCTTTTCAGCTAGGCCCCCATGAGCCCATGGTCAGAATGAAAATTGGGGGCCAGACTGTGGACTTTATGGTTGATACGGGAGCTGAGCACTCAGTAGTCACTCAGAAAGTAGCGCCTCTCTCAGGAAAGGAGGTCACCATTATTTGGAGCTATTGGGGACCAGACCCATAGACCATTCTGCTGCCCTCGCCGATGCCAACTTGGCAGTCATCAAGTAATTCATGAATTCCTGTACTTGCCAGACTGTCCAGTGCCTCTAATGGGTAGAGACTTTTTAGCCAAAATGAGGGCAGAAATCACTTTTGCTCCGGATGGCTCAGCACAGCTTCGCCTAGGTGAGGAGACCTCCCTAATGATCCTGTCCTTAGCAGTGCTGAGGGAGGAACAATGGAGACTTTATACCCCCCAGACAAAGGCCTCACCATTAGAACCTGTATTAGAGAAGGAATTCCCACTGGTCTGGGAAGAAGGGAATCCTCTAGGCCTGTCTAAGGACCAGGACCCGGTGCTAATTGAGTTAAAGCCTGGGGCACAACCTTTTAAAATCCACCAATATCCAATTCCAAGGGAAGCACACCTAGGAATCCAGATCCACTTAGACTGGCTGCTTCAGTGGGGACTTGTTAAAAGATGCCGGTCTCCATGGAACACGGCCAGGTGCAGGATCTATGGGTTGTTAATGAGGCTGTTATAACCCTGCATTCAGCACTGCTGAACCCCTACACTCTTCTGGGATTCATCCCATCATAGGCGGAATGGTTTACATGCCTAGATCTGAAAGATGCCTTTTTCTGTCTTTGATTAGCACCTTCCAGTCAGCCTCTCTTTGCTGTTGAATGGGAAAACCCAACTATAGGGGCCAAGGAGCAGTTCACCAGGACCAGACTACCACAAGGATTCAAGAACTCCCCTACGCTTTTTAGTGGAGCACTAGCACCTGATCTGTCTAAGCTCCCAGGATAGGACTTGGGGTATGTTCTACTCCTGTATGTAGACGACCTCCTACTGGCCAACTCCACATGAGCTCAGAGCTGGGAGGGAACATGAGCTCTTCTGAGACTATTAACTGAAACAGGTTATCGGGTGTCTAAGAAAAAGGCACAGATTTTTCAGAAAGAAGTCAAGTATCTAGGCTTCCAGATCACCCAAGGGAAACGAAGACTAGGGACTGAAAGGAAGCAGGCAGTATGTGCCATCCCAGTCCCTAGCACCCGGCGGCAGATTTGGGAATTCCTGGGAACGGCAGGATTCTGTCGAATTTGGATCTCAGGGTTTTCAGACCTGGCCAAGCCTCTCTATGAAGCTTTAAAAGGAGAAGAGAAGGCACCCATCGACTGGGGTCCCAAACAGGAGAAAGCCTTCATCACCATAAGGCAAAGCTCACTGAAGCCCTGGCACTAGGGCTACCAGATGTGATGCGAGACTTTAATCTTTTAGTTCACGAGAACAGCGGGGTAGCCCCAGGAGTTCTAACCCAGGAGTTTGGAACCTGGCAAAGGCCAGTAACCTATCTCTCCAAACAGATTGACCCAGTTGCCTCTGGTTGGCCCCTGTGCCTCAGGGTCCTTGCAGCCATGGCATTATTAGTCAAGGAAGCAGATAAACTTACCTTAGGAAAAAACTTAAATGTAAAAGTACCTCATGCTGTTGTCACCCTGATGGAAGCAAGGGGGCAGCACTGGCTGACTCATGCTCAAATGACTCAGTATCAAGGTCTGTTATGTGAGAATCCATGGGTACAATTAGAAGCAGTGAGAACACTTAATCCGACTACCCATCTCTCTAGGAACAGCTGTACATCCTTATAAACCTGGAGACCAGGTTTGGGTTAAGGATTGGAAAAAAGAGCCCCTGAAGCCTACCTGGAAAGGACCCCATCCAGTCATATTAACCACTCCCACAGTTCTTAAAGTTGCAGGACTAAACACCTGTATCCGCCACTCCCGGGTGAAGGCAGCCCACCAGCCGATTGCCTGGAAGTCCTAGAGGAGGCTTATTCCAACTGGCCAGACCTAAGGGATAGGCCCCTGCAAAACACGGACTTGGTATTGTTCACAGACGGCAGCAGCTTCTTAGATGAAGGAAAAAGACGAGCCAGATATGCAGTGGTATCAAACTTTGAGACAATTGAAGCACACACCCTGCCTGAAGGATGGTCAGCACAGAAGGCAGACTTTGGGCCCTAGTAAGAGCCCTAGAACTCAGTAAGAATAAGTGTGCCAACATTTACACTGACTTGCGCTATTCTTTTGCTACCTTGCATATCCATGGGGCCATATATAAGGAAAGGGGCTCTTGACGGCCAGAGGAAAAGGAATCAAAAATTAGAATGAGATTTTAAACTTACTAGAAGCAGTCTGGGAGCCCAAGGAAATAGCCGTCGTCCATTGCAAAGATCACCAGCAATGTGATCACCGGGAAAGACTCAGTATCAGAAGTAAACAAGAGTGCTGACTCCGCAGCCAAGCTGGCTGCTAAAGATCTGGCATGGATCATATTGGCCCCCAAATTACCTGAACCTCCAAAATACACTCCTCAGGAGGAGGAATGGGCCCAGCAAGAAGGGGGCAAGAGAACAATGGAAGGCTGGTGAATACTCCCAGATCATAAGGTCTATGTCCCAGAACAGTTATCCCATAAGGTAGTCCTCCAGTAGCATGAACTCATTTAGGAAAGGCTGCCCTAGAAGCTTTGTTAGGCAGGTACTACCTAATTGCCCATCTTTCCTCCTTGTGTGCCTCAGACTCTCAGCGTTGCCTCTTCTGTGCTCAGAACAATGCCAAACAGGGTCCTGTGGGACCAATAGGAGTTCAGCGCTGTGGGCAAGCTCCTTTTGAGGACTTAGAAGTAGATTTTACAGAAATAGGGCCTAGCAGAGGGAATAAATACCTCCTAGTCTTTGTTTGCACCTTTTCAGGTTGGGTCGAGGCATATCCCACTCACACTGAAAAGGCAAGAGAAGTCACTAAGGCATTGCTGAAGAATATAATTCCACAGTATGGAATGTCTCTGACCATACGGTCCAATAATGGCCCAGCCTTTGTAGCAGAAATAGTAAAACAGGTAGCCAAGGCTTTAGGAATTAAATGAAATCTACATACAGCTTACAGGCCTCAGAGTTCAGGGAGAGTGGAGCGCATGAACCAGACTCTAAAGCAGACAACCTTACCCTGGAAAGATATCTTGCCTCTTGTACTCCTGCGGGGACGCTGTGCCCCAAGGGCCAGGGTAGGTTTGAAATTCTATACGGTAGACCTCCTCCCTTAATTCAGCCAAAGGGAAATTTGGGGGAAATAGGGAACTTAGAAATCCAGAAACAACTATAAGGACTTGGAAAAACTGTCTTTGAGGTCCACAGGTGGGTTATTGACCGACTACCCATCTCTCTAGGAACAGCTGTACATCCTTATGAACCTGGAGACCAGGTTTGGGTTAAGGATTGGAAAAAAGAGCCCCTGAAGCCTACCTGGAAAGGACCCTATCCAGTCATATTAACCACTCCCACAGTTCTTAAAGTTGCAGGACTAAACACCTGTATCCGCCACTCCCGGGTGAAGGCAGCCCACCAGCCGAGTGGCATCCAGTCTGAGTGGAACGTGACCTCTGACCAGAAACACCCCCCGTGGATCACCCTCAAGAAGACAGAAGACCTGGCCTAGCAACCTGCTCTAAGGAATTCAGAAACACCCTGCTGAATTCTCCCTAACACTGATCTTTCTTTCTTATCTCCTCCTAACGTAACATGCTCTAGTATTTCTGGATAATCACTGATTTATCTAATAATTTTTATTTTGTCTTTTTATGAGTGCCAGCGGAATCTGAGTCTAGTAACAGGAGAAGAACTCATCTACTCTTGCTGGGACACAGAAGCACCATAAAATTACTGCTCCCCACACAGCAAGGAAACCAAGGCCTTATCATAAATTGTTGGATTACACCTTGTCATGCCATCTTTTGCTCCTTGCTTAGAAACTCGCTACCCAAATATGCTAGACTGGGTAGCACACGAGAAAACCCAATCAAGCCAGATTTTTATTAGCTATACTTGTCAGCCTGTGGCATGTTACGACTCTACTACCAAATGCGTGTGTGTGTATGTGGGGGGGGGGGGGAGGGAATTGTATTGAATAGGACCTGCCATGACCAATGTGCAGCTAATGTTTCTCCTATTTGTTTCAGCAGTATGCAGGGCCAACGTCCAACAGTTCACCTCCCAGATGAACTATGCAACTTTACCCCCAAGGCTGAAAACACCACCTACCCCTGGTGCCCCCTGCAGGAACATTCTAAGCGTGTGGGACCACTGCTTACCTCTGCCTGCCTGAAACCAGAAGAACTCCCTACAAACCCCTCTGAGAGGAAGAAGCGAGATGCTAACCCCTTGGTCATTGTCCCTTTCCAGCAGGAAGTAGCTAAGAGCGGTCGTCACCCCTGTTCACCATAACATCCCATGGTCCTTGCTCCACAAGGCTAAAAGAAGCTTGTGGGACCAGGTGGGGGTGGGAATGAGCAGGAAACTGGTCTTGCAAGGGGTGTCAGGCCATAAATACTGAACAGATGTTGGGGGTCAGATGTAAGCTGGCAAGGTCCTTGCACCTGAAGGGGCTAGCAAGTCTGAGACCCTTACCCACACAGTTTTCCCAGACTTGTTTGGATGGCAGTTATTAGTAGAATGAGAACAGCCTTTCATGGCTTACCAAGAAGCCTGTAACTATTTACTGAGATATGCTCTACTGAGAACTTGTCCTTCTGCTGTGTCTCTCCCTTAGAGATTAAGAGGGACAAAGAATACATTCTTCTTGACAGACCTCCTATTCAGTGTGTTATGTATAAATAGGATTGTGTGGCTAATAAAGTTGCTTCAGTTCCTCGAGAACTGGAGTCCTCCCGATCCCGATTTCCTGTCTTTCTTTCTTTTCTCAATTCCCACCTCCCTACCTCAGCCCTGCTCAACCTGTCAGGCTGACCCTGACAAACAGAGAGGGGCCACCGGGAGGGGCCACGGGGTGCCCACCTCTGCGGCCCGTCCATTCTTTCCTGCCAAGGAAACTTGGGAAGGGGAGTGTAGAGTCTGCCAAGTGAGAAAATTTCCAGAGGAAGATGGCTGAGAGGCCCACGGCAGCACCGAGGTCTGTGCCTCTCTCCAAGCACACCAGAGAGCCGCTCACAGAAGCCAGTAACCAGAAACCCCTGTCCGGGGGACAAGAGAAATCTTGTACAAAACCATCACCATCAAAAAAACGCTGTTCTGCCCTAACCGGTTTGGCTCAGTGGATAGAGCATCGGCCTGCAGACTCAAGGGTCCCAGGTTCAATTCCGGTCAAGGGCATGTACCTTGGTTGCGGGCACATACCCTGTAGAAGGTGTGCAGGAGGCAGCTGATAGATGTTTCTCTCTCATTGATGTTTCTAAATCTCTATCCCTCTCCCTTCCTCTCTGTAAAAAATCAATAAAATATGTTTAAAAAATGATTTAAAAAAACAAACAAACAAACAAACAAAAAACGCTGTTCTGACAACACTGACGTAGAAGTTTCCAACTTGGAAAATGCACAGCAGGTTGAGTCAGCTTCTGCCAAACCTTGTTCTCCAAGTCCTGTGTCCCCTCAGACGCAGCCACAGGCACCAGCTCTGGCCAGTGATTCCCTGCCCGCCACCCGGGCATCGCTGCTGGGCCTGCAGAAAGCACTGAACGCCAGGCCTGAGGCCTCTGCAGAAGCTGGCAGCCCAGCAGCGCCACTGTGATAATGACAAGGTAAAAGATGATACCCCTGAAAGCTCACTCATCCCCTCAATGCCAGCGGAGGACAAGGCGGCCTCCCCTCTCAAACCAGCAGAAGCCTCAGCAACTCCCGTGGGGAGGAGGGGCCGTCTGGCAACCTTGCCGCCACTATTTGCTCCTGGGAAGATGATGTCAGTCTCTCATCAGCAAAGCAGAACAGTGCCCCAGGACAGCCTGGCACCACTTGTTTGTCCAAATCTTCCTCTGCCAGCGGAGCATCTGCTGGCATCAATGTTGCGCAGGAAGCCGCATGCTGCTCCCCGAGGGGTGGCCATGACTCTCTGAACAAAGCCCCGGCCTCGAGAGCCGCCTCGAGAGCCGCCACCGTCTCCTTGCCTACAGGTGCCGTTTCCAGCGCTGTGAAAGCTGCTTCTTCCCCTGTGAAAGCTTCTATATCTGTCACCAATGCTAAAAATTGTGAGGTAAGAAAACCTGAGCGACTTCAAAAAATTGCTAGTCCTTTAAAAACAGAGGTATCGAAAACAATCGGGAAATCGGCTGAATCCCAGACAGTTCAGCCCAAAAAGTAAGTAAATAGAGAAACTTGTCTGCAGTCTCACTCTAAAGACAAACCTACAACACCAAGAGCAGGAGTCAAGCCGTTTCTGGAGAGCTTCGGAGAGCGCTGTCTAGAAGGCAGCCAAGACAGCCCTGCATGGAGCACACCCCACAGGACCCCCGTGGTCACTCCAAACACCAAGCCCATCCAGGAAAGACTGTTAAAGGAAAACACATCTTCATCTACTACCCACGTAGCCCAGCGGCTCAAGCAGGAACGTGAAAAAGAACTAGCATGTCTTCGTGGCCGATTTGACAAGGGCAATTTATGGAGTGCAGAAAAGGCGAAAACTCAAGAAGCAAACAGCTAGAAACCACACAGGAAATTCACTCTCAGAACATTCCCCTCAGAAAACATCAAGTTGTTTCAAATACCCCGTCCCGTCCAGTAACAGAAAAGGAAAAGGTGGCAGAAGAGCAGACTCCAGCACAGCCCCCACAGCCCAGAGCCGGCAGGTTTCACTGAATGTGAAATGACAAAGTCTAGCCCTTTGAAAATAACACTGTTTTTAGAAGAGGAAAAGTCTTTAAAAATAACATCAGACCCAAAGATTGAGCAGCAGACCAAAGTGGTACATGAGACTGAGATGAGCGTGAATGACAAGGATGACATCAATAGTTCGAAAGTGATTAACGACATCTTCAGTGATGTCCTGCAGGAAGGCGAGCTGGATGTGGCCAGGAGCCCAGAGCAGATGGGCCAGTTGGGAGCCGAGAGAGGGAGGACCAGGAGGATGCCCTGAATATCTCCTCGATGTCGCTGCTTGCTCCGCTGGGACAGACAGTCAGTGTGGTAAGTCCAGAGAGTTTCGCTTCCTCACCTAGATTGGAACTGAAGGGCAGTAGCATACATGACGAGAGTCCCAAACCAGGAAAGTTCCAGAGAACCCATGTCCCGCGGGCCGAGTCTGGTGACAGTATTGGTTCTGAGGACCGTGACCTTCCTTACAGCATCGATGCGTACAGATCTCAGAGAATAGAAGAAACAGACGGTCCTTCAATTAAGCAGATTGCTCGAAAGGAAGATGCTACTTCAAAATTGGAGGGAAAAAGGAATGCTGAAGAAAAGAGCATCTTTCCTTGTCAGGTGAACGTCAAGCAGAAAATGCAGGAACTCAACAATGAAATCAATCTGCAGCAGACGGTGACCTACCAGGCCAGGCAGGCCTTGAACTGCTGTGTGGACGAGGAGCACGGGAAGGGGTCCCTGGAAGAAGCCAAGGAAGAAAGGCTGCTTCTGATGGCAACTGAGAAGAGAACACTTTTGATTGATGATCTGAATAAACTGAAGAGTGAAGGACCTCAGAGGAAGAATAAGGTTGGTCTCCTCTCCCAAAGTGAATTTGTCCTGTCCAAAGGGTCAGTCATTTTGTCAGAAATCTGTTTGCCTCTCAAGGCAGATTTTGTCTGCAGCACAGTTCAGAAACCAGATGCAGCAACTTACTTCTTCCTGATCATACTGAAGGCAGGAGCCGAGAACATGGTGGCCACCCCGCTGGCAAGCACTACCACTTCTCTGAATGGTGATGTTCTGACTTTCTCCACTACATACACTCTGGAAGATGTGTCCAATGACTTTGAAATCAGTATTGAAGTTTACAGCTTGGTGCAAAAGAAAGATCCCTCAGTGCTAGATAAGAAGAAAAAGGCATACAAATCCAAGGCTATCACTTCAAAGTGACTTCTCACATCTATAACTACAAAAAGCAACCTTCATTCTTCAGTGATGGCCAGCCCCTGCGGTCTCCATGCTGTGCGCACCAGCAACTTTATCCTTGTTGGATCTTACACGCTGTCCTTGTCTTCAGTAGGAAACACTAAGTTTGCTATGGACAAGGTGCCCTTTTTATCTCCTTTGGAGGGTCATATTTAATTAAAAATAAAATGTCAAGTGAATTCAAGTGTTGAAGAAAAAGGTTTCCTAACCATATTTGAAGATGTAAGTGGGTTTGGTGCCTGGTATCAAAGATGGTGTATTCTGTCTGGAAACTGTATCTCTTACTGGACGTACCCCAATGACGAGAAACAGAAGAATCCCATAGGAAGGATAAATCTGGCCAATTGCACCAGTTGTCAGATAGAACCAGCCGACAGAGAATTTTGTGCAAGACGCAACACTTTTGAATTAATTACTGTCCGACCACAAAGAGAAGATGACCGAGAGACACTTGTCAGCCAGTGCAGGGACACACTCTGTGTCACCAAGCACTGGCTGTCCGCAGACACCAAGGAAGAGCGGGACCTCTGGATGCAGAAGCTCAATCAAGTCCTTGTGGACATTCGCCTCTGGCAGACTGACGCCTGCTACAAGCCTCTCGGGAAGCCCTGAGCGGGGCAGTTCCCATGCCGCTCAGCAGTGGCTTTGAGCTCCGTCATACGTGTATCTTAAGAGCAGCAGATATGCTGATGGCGTTTTATGCTTTAAAAACAAAAGGGTATGTGCCAATATTCACTACATATTATGCAGTATTTATGTCTTTTGTATGTAAAACTTCAACTGATTTGTCATTCATAAATTGCCTGGAGGAAAATTTATTATACTTTATTTTGCTAAATCTTAATCTAAAATCCTCATTTCTTTGAAACCTGATTATTCAGTTATTCATGAGAAAATGTTTGTTTTTAAGTAAGTTGTCTGGTTGGAGCTGTGGGTCTCAGCACAGAGGGGTCTTGGGAGTTAGTCACTCTTTAGCATCATACATCTTCCTGTGGGTTGTGGGCCTTTATTGGATATATCTTGTTACTGTTGCACCAAAGACATTTCTTAGGGACTTTATGGAAACGTTTTTAGTATGAAGGTAAGGGCTTTTTCAAAGAGCAAATGGACATTCGTTTAAAGCTGAGGCTTCTCCAAACAGGAGATGTGGACTTAGGGGATATTGTGTGAGATTTGGGGGTAAGATGTTTTATTTAAAAGACTTAATAATCACATGGTTTACATTTGCTGTTACTGAAGATGCTGAGTGGTACACATTTTCATAAAATGTAGCTTTCAAAAGTAATTATTTTTGCTTTATAGCTAACAGACTCCTCAGATATACTTGGCATGTTAGTTTCTTTCTGTTCCTGTAACAAGAACAAATGTAAATTGAAGAAATTTCATTTATTTATTTATTTATTTATTTATTTATTTATTTATTTATTTTAGTATGTATTAGTAATTTTATTTCTTTTTTTTAATTTATTGCTTAAAGTATTACAAAGGGTATTACATATGTGTCCATTTTATCCCCCGCCCTAGACAGTCCCCTAGCCTCCCCTATCCCCCAATGTCTTATGTCCACTGGTTATGCTTATATGCATGCATACAAGTCCTTTAGTTGATCTCTTACCCCCCTACCGCCTGGCCCCCAACCCTCCCCGGCCTTCCTGCTGCAGTTTGACAATCTGTTTGAGGCAGCTCTGCCCCTATATCTATTATTGTTCAAAAGTTTATAATGGTCTCTATTATCCATGAATGAGTGAGATCATGTGGTATTTTTCCTTCATTGACTGGCTTATTTCACTTAGCATAATGCTCTCCAGTTCCATCCATGACGTTGCAAATGGTAAGAGTTCCTTCCTTTTTAGAGCAGCATAGTATTCCATTGTGTAGATGTACCACAGTTTTCTAATCCATTCATCTACTGATGGGCACTTAGGCTGTTTCCAGATCTTAGCTATGGTGAACTGTGCTGCTATGAACATAGGGGTGCATATATCCTTTCTGATTGGTGTTTCTGGTTTCCTGGGATATATTCCTAGAAGTGGGATCACAGGGTCAAATGGGAGTTCCATTTTCAGTTTTTTAAGGAAACTCCATACTGTCTTCCATAGTGGCTGCACCAGTCTGCATTCCCACCAGCAGTGCACAAGTGTTCCTTTTTCTCCACATCCTCTCCAGCACTTGTCATTTGTTGATTTGTTGATGATAGCCAGTCTGACAGGTGTGAGATGGTACCTCATTGTTGTTTTGATTTGCATCTCTCCGATGATTAGTGACTTTGAGCATGTTTTCATATGTCTCTTGGCTTTCTGAATGTCCTCTTTTGAAAGGTGTCTATTGAGGTCCTTTGCCCATTTTTTGATTGGATTGTTTATCTTCCTTTTGTTAAGTTGTATAAGTTCCCTATAAATTTTGGAGATTAGGCCCTTATCAGAAATGACATTGGCAAATATGTTTTCCCACACAGTGGGTTTTCTCGTTGTTTTGTTGATGGTTTCTTTTGCTCTGCAGAAGCTTTTTATTTTGATGTAGTCCCATTTGTTCAATTTCTCTTTAGTTTCAAGTGCCCTAGGAGCTGTATCAGTGAAGAAATTGCTTCGGCATATGTCTGAGATTTTGTTGCCTTTGGATTCTTCTAGAATTTTTATGGTTTCCTGTCGTACATTTAAGTCCTTTATCCATTTTGAGTTTATTTTTGTGTATGGTGTAAGTTGGTGGTCTAGTTTCATTTTATTGCATATATCTGTCCAATTTTCACAACACCATTATTGAAGAGACTATCTTGGATCCATTGTATGTTCTTGCCTCCTTTGTCAAATATTAATTGAGCATATTGGTTCGGGCCGATTTCTGGGCTCTCTATTCTATTCCATTGATCTATATGCCTATTCTTGTGCCAGTACCAGGCAGTTTTGAGAACAGTGGCTTTGTAATACAACTTGATATGTGGTATTGAGATCCCACCTACTTTGTTCTTTTTCAGGATTGCTGCAGCTATTCGGGGTCTTTTTTTATTCCAGATGAATTTTTGGAGAGTTCGTTCTAGATCTCTGAAGTATGCCGTTGGTATTTTAATGGGAAGTGCGTTGAATTTATAGATTGCTTTGGGTAGTATGGACATTTTAATGATGTTGATTCTACCAATCCATGAACACGGTATGTTCTTCCATCTGTTTATGTCTTCCTCTATATCTTTTTTCAACGTCCTGTAGTTTTCTGAGTACAGGTCTTTTACCTCTTTAGTTAAGTTTATTCCTAGGTAGCTTAATTTTTTTGGTGTGATGGTGAATGGGATTGTTTTTATAATCTCTCTTTCTGAAAGTTCACTTTTGGTGTATAGAAATGCCTCGGATTTCTTGGGGTTAATTTTGTATCCTGCTACATTGCCAAATTCATGTATTAAGTCCAGTAGCTTTTTGATGGAGTCTCTAGGGTTTTGTATGTATAATATCATGTCCTCTGCAAATAAGGACAGTTTTACTTCCTCTTTTCCAATTTGGATGCCTTTTATTTCTTCTTCTTGCCGAATTGCAATGGCTAACACTTCCAGTACTATGTTGAACAGGAGTGGTGAGAGGGGGCATCCCTGTCTTGTTCCTGTTCTTAGGGGAAATGGTGTTAGTTTTTGTCCATTGAGTATGATGTTGGCTGTGGGCCTGTCATATATGGCTTTTATTTTGTTGAGGTATGATCCTTCTACTCCCACCTTGCTGAGAGCTTTTATCAAAAATGGGTGTTGAATTTTGTCAAATGCTTTTTCTGCAGCAATTGATATGACCATGTGGTTTTTTTCTTTCAATTTCTTTATGTGATGTATCACGTTTATTGATTTGCGGATATTGTACCATCCTTGCATCCCTGGGATAAATCCTACTTGGTCATGGTGTATGATCTTTCTGATGTACTGCTGGATCCGATCTGCTAAGATTGTTTTGAGGATTTTGGCATCTATGTTCATGAGGGATATTGGCCTGTAATTCTCCTTCATTGTGTTGTCTTTACCTGGTTTTGGTATTAGGGTGATGCTGGCTTCATAGAATGAGCTTAGAAGTGTTCCTGCCTCTTGAATTTTTTGTAGTAGTCTGAGGAGGATAGGTTTTAGTTCTTCCTTGAATGTTTGGTAAAACTCCCCTGTGAAGCCGTCTGGTCCTGGGCTTTTGTTTGCTGGAAGCTTTTTGATGAATGCTTCAATTTCTTCCATAGTTATTGGCCTATTGAGATTTTTAGATTCTTCCTGATTGAGTTTTGGAATGTTGTATTTTTCTAGGAATTTGTCCATTTCCTCCAGGTTGTCTAGTTTGTTGGAGTAGAGCTGTCCATAGTATTTTTTAACAATCGTTTGTATTTCTGTTCGGTCTGTTGTTATTTCACCTCTATCATTTCTGATTTTGTTTATTTGGGTCCTCTCTCTTTGCTTCTTGGTGAGTCTGCCTAGAGGTTTGTCAATCTTGTTTATCCTTTCAAAGAACCAGCTCTTGGTTTCATTGATTTTCTGTATTGTTTTTTTGGTCTCTATGTCATTTATTTCTGCTCAAATCTTTATTATCTCCTTCCATCTGTTCACTCTCGGGTTTTCTTGTTGCTGTCTTTCTAATTCTTTGAGTTGTAGAGTTAGATGATTTACTACCATTTTTTCTTGTTTTTTGAGATAGGCCTGTAGAGCTATAAACTTCCCTCTCAGGACTGCTTTCATTGTGTCCCATAGGTTTTGGATTGTTGTGTTTTCATTGTCATTAGTTTCCAGGATGTTTCGAATTTCTTCTTTGATTTCATTGGTAACCCAATCAATATACAATAGCATGCTATTCAGCATCCAGGTGTTTGAGTATTTTGGGTTGTTTTTATTGTAGTTTATTTCTAATATTATGCCATCGTGATCTGCGAAGGCGTTTTTTATGATTTCAATTTTCTTGAATTTGGGGATACTTTGCTTGTGACCCAATATATGGTCTATTTTTGAATATGTCCCATGAGCACTTGAGAAGAACGTATATTCCCTGGCTTTGGGGTGAAGTGTTCTGAAGATGTCTATTAAGTCCATCTGATCTAGTGAGTCATTTAGGATTGCTGTATCTTTGCTGATTGTTTGTCTAGAGGACTTATCCCGTGCTGTCAGTGGTGTATTAAAGTCCCCTACTATGATTGTATTGTTGTCGATCTCTCCTTTGATATCTTCCAGGAGATTTTTTATGAATTTGGGTGCTCCTGCATTGGGTGCATATATGTTTACCAGGGTTATATCTTCTTGTTGTATTGATCCCTTTAGTATTATGAAGTGGCCTTCCTTATCTCTTGTTATGGCCTTCACTTTGAGGTCTATTTTGTCTGATATAAGTATTGCTACCCCAGCTTTCTTTTCCTTTCCATTTGCCTGAAAGACATTTTTCCATCCTTTCACTTTCAGTCTGTGTGAGTCCCTTCTAATGAGGTGGGTTTCTTGTAGACAGCAGATGTATGGGTCATGTTTTTTTATCCATTCAGCCACTTGATGTCTTTTGTTTGGAGCATTTAGTCCGTTTACGTTTAAAGTTATTATTGAAAGGTACTTGTTTGTAGGCATTTCTGTTTTTGTGTGGCTGTTTTCTTTCTGAGCTTTTTATTTCTTATTTTTATACCAGTCCCTTTAGCATTCCTTGCATTGC